CCGCAGCACTGAGAGGATGTCGCATCCATCCCAAATTTTGCTGCTGCCAGCCGCCCAGTGCAGTCTCGGCTTTTCCCAGCATGTGGGTGGAGGCAGGACATGGAGCCAGGCTGTACTTGGTGGCACGGGGCTGGGAGTGGAGCAACGGTGAAATCTGGGGTGGCTGCAGTCTCTCCCAATACCCACTCCGAGCCCAGTCCCTGCCAAGAAGAGCTGCTCAGCACTGGCTCCAGCCCACCCTGCCTCACGCAGATCCAGGGGCACCACCTGCGCCTCACTGTGCGGGGTGTTGATCTACCCCCCTACACTCCTTCCTGCTCCCCTTCTGATTTACCAGCTGGCAGCAGCTCTCCATGCTGCCAGCTCTGCTTCGTGCTGCACTGCGGCTTTGCACAGCATGGGCATTTATTGGCCAAATTAAATCGGCCGTATTGGGCCAATATCTGATACGGTAATTTTTCTTTATAATCAGTACCCATCCGATATTGGACCTGCATATCAGTGCACCTCTAGCTGCATGCCAGCTTATTTTTCCCCAGCAAGAAGTTTCCTTTGTTCAGGGCACAGCATTTAGAGATCTCAGAGCAGGAATAAAAGGCAACTTTATACCAGGTCCACTTGTCTGCATAAGCTGAAATTTCCAAATGGCTCTACAGCCCAGTGAAATTTATCTTCTTGAGCCCTTTGCCAATACCATAATTTGATAGGGTTTTTTTCTTTAATGCCTTTTACATTCATTCTCTACCCAACACAAGTCCCATAGGTGCGTTTGTCATCCTGTTCATCTATATTAAGAGGGCTTTCTACACAGGCACCCAGTATATAAAAATGCAGAGGTCACATTAATATAATAGCCTCTGTAGGTCCCAGCCAAGAATAGGACCCCACTGTACTCTGTGCTGTATATATGTACCAAGAGGTACCCCCTGCCCTGCAAAAAAAAAAAATCTTACTATTTAAAACAGACAAGGAAGGATCATCACCCCCTTTTATAGATGGGGGATGGAAACCTTATGTCTGTGGCAGGGCCACCCAGGAAGAGCATAAAGCCATTCTTCCTACCTAGTTGAATACACTGAGCTCCTCTTCAGAGGCCGGAGTAAAACCAAGAAAGTTCTTCACTTGTCCCATGGAGTCCCATTTATAAAATATTTTTTGCCAGAACAGTTCAGCCTTGGATTTCTTCCCTACTCTGAGGAATAAAGTTTACTTCCATACCAATTCTAGCCACTATTCGTTGCTAATGGAGCAGCTTAGCAAGTTTAAGGATTCATTGTGAGGCAGCTGTTTCACTGATTATGGATCAGTTCCAACAAGGAGCTCCAAAACAGTGCATCACAGTTTCACTGAACAGTTTACAAGCCATAACTAGGAACAGAGGCACTCAACCACCTTCAGATGCAGCTAAGTTGATTTCTAGTGAATTACAAATTTCAATTAACTCTTGAGCTTAGGACTGATGGAAAAAGTAACCCTGGCAAAGAAGTTCCAACTTTGGATGTAAAGCATCAGTAACCATGGAGGTTCAGCATGCCAGTCTGAACTGCCTCTATAAAACTTAAGATAGGATGGTGGCGGTGGTGGGGAGAGGGGGCCAGGATAGTCTCCCAAAATAAAAAATGCTCAGTATGTTAGATGCCACCTGGAGTCTTCATTGTCTTTTCTGTGAATGACCACTAGTTTTCTATGCCTGACATTTAAATTTAAAATTAACACTTCTGGATTATGCCTAGGTTTGGAGTAGAGCTAGGAAGAGACTGTGTGCAAGCTCCCTACACTTGATATGGACATAAGGTAAAAAGTACAAGGACTCACCATGAAATTTCTTGTCCAGGATCATCTGTGACAGTTTTCTTTCTACATCAGCCTGAAATTGAAGCAGAGAATTGAAACTGTCTCCTGGAGCTAGCTGAAGAGCTGTGGATTTCACCACTCTACACCTGCAGCCCTGACAAGATACAAAATAGCTGCTTCCAGGGGATTTTTCAACACGGGTCACTAATCACTCTTGGAAGTCAGATCTTGCACACACTAGCTTGGATACAATAGTATGTTTTAAGCAATGGAAGAAGTCAAAGCAGGTACCACCAGGCACTAGCTTCAATTGAACAGAGTGCCAAGATGACCCCAACTGAGTAGAGTGCCTAGATGACCCTCTTGGTTCATGGAGCACAGTACAACTTTCATGTCATACATGCTGTTATCAGGATTATATTAATGCTTTAGCCAAGCTTCACCACAAGTCTGTTAACACAGCAATACCTGCAACTGCCAGCGAATGACCCAATGGGAGTCAGCCCCTCCCTCCATTTTGCTATTTCAGTAGAACACACGCCACTTGAAGATAAGGGGTGTTTGTGTTCCCTGCTCTTACTCAAAATATCAAAATGTGCGCTGGTGTCCAAGATGTCATCCAGTACAAGAACACACCATTCAAAACAGTGTACAATGGAAGTGAGTATACAGCCAGGATCAAGGCACTCCATAATCTGCAGGCGCTGGGGGAGTCCCTGTTCCCCCGAGCGCCGCAAGGAGTGACCAGGAACAATGGTCACAAGCTGGTGGAGGGAAGGTTTAAGTTGGACATCAGGAGGCGCTACTTCATGGTCAGGGCAGCTAGGGTCTGGAACCAGCTTCCAAGTGAGGTGGTGCAGGCTCCCACCCTGGGGGTTTTTAAGAGGAGGTTGGATGACCACCTTACTGGGGTCATTTGACCCCAGTGCTCTTCCTGCCATGGCAGGGGGTCGGACTAGATGATCTGCTCAGGTCCCTTCCGACCCTAGAAACTATGAAACTATGAAAC